CCCCCACCCCTCCCTTCATTCCGGATCCTCCGTCACCGCGGAATTTAACTGAAGAGCCCTGCTTCCTTAAAAACGAAGACAGAGCACGGGAATTTCACATAACAGCTCAGTATGTAAAGGAGTATAAACAACCGTTGCAACACCAATAAAAATTTCGGCCAGTTTCTCTTTCATCAAGTTCGGTTTTATGAGTTTTGTGCTGTGTAACAGCAGTATAAGACACATATTGTCACGGAGTTGTGTGTGTATGTGTGTGTGTGTCCGCAGCAATTTGTCCGCAACTTTCCACTCAGGAACCACAAAAGCTAGGGAGCTAAAAATTTAGGGGAATGCTCCCCACCCACGTGTGACCCTGCGAATTTAAATCCCCGCCCCCCCCCGCCCCCGTACTTGTGGGCAACACGTACGGCCCTGTAAAAGTTTGGGTGGATAAAATTATTATCAGAGGAGCCATGGAAGCCAGAAGACTGAAATTTTGTCGGCTGAAAATTGAAATTCAGCATTTCAGCGCGCTCAGGAATCACACATGGCTCCGTGAAAGCTTCAGCGGAGAAAATTATTTCGAGAACTACGAAAGTTGGGAATCTGAAATTTTACGGCGATATCCGCTGTCAACGTGCGACCCCAGCAAATCTGGAAATTTGGTTTCAGCATCCACACACCCCTGAGTACCACGTACGGCCCCGCGAAAATTTTGGTAGAATTATTATTTCGTGAACTGCAAAAGCTAGAAAGTTGAAATTTTAGCGTGGAGTCCCTGCCCACATAAAACTACGCAAATTTCCAACGTCCTCGTGGAAGTTTTGGCGAGAAAAATCATTATCTTGGGAGCCAGAAGAGACAGGGGGCTAAAAAGTTCACCAAAATGTTTCCTGCCTAAGCAGTGGCCTCACAAACTCGAATTTAGTTTTTAAGTATGTCGAGGTCTCACGTACGGCCACGTGAAAGTTTTGTCTCAAAGATCATTCAAAAGCCAGAAAATTAGGAGACTGAAATTTTGGAAGGATATTCACTTTTCGAAGTTTCAAATTCCGCTTTCACGTGCCGATGCGCGAAATTTTTAACTATTTTTATGTGTTTTGTGCTGTATAACAGCGTTACAAAACGCATATTGTCACGGGGTTGTCTGTGTGTGTGTGTGTTTGTGTGTGTGTCCCACATTTTGTCACGCACATTCAACTCGGGAACCACAAAAGCCAGGCGGCTGAAATTTTGGTATAGTGTTCCTCGCCAGCGGGTGACGCGGTAAATATAAATTCAGCTCTCCCGTACCCGCGGGTAAGACGTATGGCGTCGCGAAAGTTTTTTATGGGTAAATTATTATCTCGGGAACCACGGGGTCTAGGAAATTGAAATTTTACGGTAATGA